CCCCAAAGATCCCTTTTTTTTTCAGTTGTGCCTCACTCTTAGAAATACCAATTCCTAAAGGTGATAGAGTAGACTCTATCCCATAGTAAAAAGTGTCCTACATCCTAGACTGTGCAGTTCATTATTGACTTCTGCCTTTCCCATGGCCATTCTTTTCCCATTTGCCTTGAAACATCCTTCGGTCTATGGATCTTCCCACTCTTCTAGGTTTCGGCTGCCCACAGCCGCTCTGATTCCCCTTCTCCTGATGCAAGATGAATGGTCTCTCTAAGCTTCAGATACCTGCAGATGATACCCACCGAAAGGTCCGAACCTCCCTTTATAGAATATCTCTCTTCTACGACGGGAACATTCATTACTGCTGCCGTCTCCCACTACTGAAACAAGATTTCTCCACTTCTTCTGACCTTTTTCAATCCCTCCCCTCTGCCTCATCACCCATTCTCCTCTAGGCTCTCTTCTTCCCAAGGGAATACAAAGCTTATTTTACCTTCATTGTTAACTTTTGACTTGTTTATGGTATATCATATATTCCCCTATATAATTTCCTTCCTTTACCCCCTTTCATGCACCCTCACATCCTGTAATTTTGCCCCTGTAATTTGAAAAAAAATGCATTCAACTATAGGTGGAGGGTTTTGAGGTCTGGTCCATAGTTTCAGGCCTGTTTCTCCAGAACCACTTCTATTTACTTTTTGTTTTCATCCTTATCTCCACGTATGTATTTAGAAAGAAATCTCTTAATTATTCCTCTGTTGTTAATTTGTTATTGTCATCCTTGGCTGCTCTATTAGTGGTTTGTATTTCCATTGTCTGGGGTGCCTGAAAGGCAAATAATTTCTTCCGATCTGGTTTTTCTAGAAATGTTTTGAACACCTCTTTAATGAACATGCACCTCCTTTCATTATTGGTTAGGCTCAGATTTGCAGGGTAGGTCACCTTATTTTGCATCTTGAGCTCCTTTGTGCTTTAGAACATATTAGTCCATTTCCTCCTATGGTTTTTGGTGGATGCTGAAAAGTGATTTAAATTTCCTTTCCTTTATATTTGGGGGTCTGTCTTCTGGTTGTTTGCAGAATTTGCTGTCTGTCAGTCAAACTGCTGAATTTAACCATATCTTGGAGTTTGCAGGATATTATTTATTTATAGAGGTATTCCATGGATTTTTCTGACTGGCACTTTGCATTCTATGTTCATAAGTTTTGGGCAGTTTTCTTGTACTATTTCTTGCATTATGCTTTTTGACTTGTGTTCTTCTGGTAGACCTATAATTTCTAAATTGTCTTTATATATCCTGTCTTTGAGATCATGTTTTGCTTGTATGGGAAGCATATTTCCTTTTAATGTAATTGCTTTTTACTTCTGTTCTCCAAACTGTCCTTCACTTCCACACATTTTCACTCACAATCAGTTATTCCCTCTTTCCTTTGGTGAAATGCCACAGGACAGTAAATACATGTTTATCTCTTCGGCCAATTACTTTTGCTGTGCAGACCATAAATTTTGCTTTCGCAAGTCTTATTTTTTCTTTCAAACCATTTAGGAACATCTTCCTGTAGTTCCATGTTCTCTTGGAAATCCACAAGGTCCTCTGCCTCATCAGGCGTTATTTTCTATTAACTGAGCTTTCTTTCCCCTGAGATCTGTGGTAATTTCAGTCTTTTTATTTTCTTATAATCTTCTATTCCTGACTTTCTCACTCCTTCCCTTTCTCTTCGAGCGTGGTTTCCCTGCAAGCTGGACTTCTCAGTTATCTCAGCTTTCTCTTCAAGAATTTTATAGTTCACCAGCTCATCTTGGCCCCACGCGACTTCCAGGGGGACAGAACTGATCCAGCTGGATGCTAAGCTCTCTCCTTCAGGTTTAGTGAAGTGCCATTCAGGCACACAGGTTCTGCCCCAGTTCACTCTGCTCCCTCGTTATCAAGCTGAGCTCTGCTGCACAGTGCTGCCTCAATGCACACTGCTGTCACAACCAAAGCAATTTTCTGCTTTCTGGATCTCCAAGAGATCTCTATTGGGAAGAATGACGGGTGGTAGAATTGGTTTCTGTTGAGAGCCGGTTGGTTGTCTCGTGCAGTCCTGCTACTACAGCATGGTGGTCTGGGGGTGGGAGAGGTTAAGGCATTACGGGTTAGGGATTACTGAGCTTCTCTGTTGTTAGTTGATCTAGTTTTTACTTCTTTGGGGTCCTTGGTATCCTATATTGTGGAGACAGCTGAAGCTGCTTTATTCCTTGCACATAACTAACATTTTAGAGAAGCTGAAGAAGTCACGGGGATTGGAGAAAATGTCTATTCTTCCATCTTGGTAGTCATGTGACCCAGAAATCCACACACTTTTGTCTTTCATATGACTGAACCAATTAAAAGATGACCCACAGAGTCATAGGTTCACAATGCAATGTATACAGGGGACACCAGCAGTTTGCAAAGAAAGCAGGCCAGCAGATGACACCAGTGGCTTTGTAAGGAAATAACAAGTGGCAATTTCAGGGGCAGAGAGATGCCCTAGTTGAGACGCACGAGTTAAGAGGCTATAATTCTTCCCGCTCCAATGAGCGGAATGGGAATTTGTGAGATTGTGTGTTTATGTGTGCATAAGATATCTTTCTGTCATTTGCTTTGTTAATCTTTCTAATAAAATGCCTTTATTTTGAAAAAAAATGCAATATGTAACTGACTTTTCAATTAAATGTATTTATTTTGAAAAAGATGCAATAACTTTCCTATGATCCAACCAGCCTGGGCCTTAGTTTCCTCATCTGTAAAATAGGGGATTGGACTAGATGCCCTCCATGGTCCCTTCTGGCTCTGGATTTTTGACCCTGTGATCTTCTCTGTCAAAAACTTCTTCCTCATTTTGAATTAAAGGACTTTTTAGTCACATATGAATAAAAACTTAGGCAGGGTTTATGCTGAAAAGTTATGTATTTGCAAAAAAAGCAATTCCTATCCTTATAACCACAAAGCTGCCAAATTGCTATTTCGAAAACATGGGTCTGACCGCGTGCGCCGCTCCCCTGCCCAAGAAGCTCTGCCGGCTCCCCTTACGCCGAGTGGCCTCGCGCCCTTCTCAGCCCGGCCCTAGCCTACAGCTCCGCACGGCGGCCAGGCTCACCGGCCTGCTGCTCCAGGATTCCAGGCCTCCTCCTCCCCCTCACCTCCACAGAGGGAGTCCGAGGGCCACCTCCTGCGAGGGGCATTTCCTGGCTCCCCGCCCAGCTCAGAGTGTCCTCCTCCAACGATGCTTTGTGTATGTTTTGGGGTCAACAACTTGAAAGCGATGACTGTTTTTCTTCTATCTCTTTATCCCAAGATTCTGGCCCACAGTAGGTACTTAGGAAACGCTTTTTGAATGAATGTCGAGAAGTGGCTTTTGTGTTGACATAAACTATTATATGTAAAAAAAAGCACGTGTGTCCGTGTTTGGGGAATAAGTCCTTTTAAAGTTAGACCTAAACTCTTCTACGTAAAATGTGTTTCCATAAGTAGCACCAGATGGTGATCTTCCTTTTACACAAACCCATCAAAAACAGACAGAGCATAAGCTCCTGGCTAATTTGTTTAACCATACTATTTTCCTGAAGTCCGTTCTCTCCCAAATAAGCGTTACCACTAGGCTGCAAATGATGGTTATGGTCAATAATAAAGACAATCATTTAAAAGACACATTCTTATATGATTACTAACTCTCCACTAGTCTAACTGATGCTCAATTGCGACATGAAGTTCCCTCTCCCTCCCTCCTCAACTCTTGCAAGATAGGCCAAATAAGTGTAAATTCAGGCATGCCCCAACAAAACAAGAAGGGCTTCGAGTACTTAGAAGCTATCACTTGAGATCTGCCTTGCTCAAGCTCAATGTAGAGAGGCTCATCCCCAAAAGGCCAACACGTCTGCTACTCACAGCCACCAACACTCATAAACACTGTATACTAAAGTGTAGACGGGACGGTCATATGTGCCAGGGGCAGAAGTGCTGAGAACTATGAATCTTTTTAAAAGTCTCTTTAAAATACTGAAATATTGTTATAGTAGTAGTAGTAGTAGCAGTAGCAGCAGCAGCAGCAGCACCAGTAGTACAACTGAGTAGCACTATCAAAAAGAGTGCTTGAAAATGCAAAAGATGTGTGATTTCAGTCCCCCAGTGAAGATTGCAAGATGCCTCTGACTTCGGAGACAAGTCCCAGAGACGTGCCTGAGGTATAGCGGTGGAATGACTTGCCCGGGGTCACACAGTGTCACAGGCAGAACTGGAACCAGGCCAAGCACTTTATGCATTATGAAAAATATTCCCAACCTGAGTATTATTCATAATGATGAAAAGCAACAGAAGGAGGAAGAGGAGGAATGCTTTTTATCCCTTTATGAAAGTCTTACTCTGATGTTTCAATGATGGAATGAAGGTGACTTCTGATATGCCTTTTAAATATGACACTGTCAGCTCAAGTGTAATAATGGCAGTCAAGGTCTCTTCCAGCATTACAAATATATGCTTGTAATCCTACATGCAAAAATCCTCAGCTACACTCCTGCTCACAGCACTGGAAGAGTCGACCCACACTTAAAAGTGGTTACAACAGTAGACTAATTACAGTCCAGGAAATCTGGAAAATAAGGCTTAAATGTTTCTATTGATAATCTCAGAGCAACTAGAGAAATTCACATTCTGACTTAGAACATATTTGAGCACGTAATGAAACTTATGACATAGAGGGCAGGGTGCTGGACTAGTCGGAGACAGCAGGGTTCAGATCTTACCTATGACACTAACAGTGCAACCTTGGGTAAGTCACTTCACACATCTGAGTCTCAGTGTCCTCCTCTGTAAAACAGGGGTGATGATACCTACCTCACAGGGTTATTGGGAGGCCCCCAAGAAATAAAGTGCATAAAGTGTTTGCAAACTTTTTTGGGACTACATAAATGTCATTCTTATTCATGATTTGAGATGTGTTTTTTTAAAAATCATACAAGCACTGGTTAAGGCATTAGCTCACCCTAAGAAAGGGGTGACCAGTTGTAGGAGCTCTGAGCCAGACACCAACTCCTGATTGAAGAGTGCAATGCAGCGGAGGAAATTTTCATAGACTTCTTGGCTTTTTAGTACCCGACGTACCTAAGGAAGAAAGAATGAAGAATGTTAGAAAGCTCTATGCTGAAGATCTGTGATTTCTAAGACTTTCAACCCCAGTCCAGTTATTATTCTGCTTGTAGATCAATAAAAGTATGGTTTAAAGTAAATAATCAAAACCAAAAAAAGTAATAACTATTTCTCACATTTTATGCCACTTTCCCCACAACCCCATTGGGAAGGTAAGTAGGAGAGGTATTATTATCCCCATTTTAGAGATAAGGAAATGGAGGTTCAGCAAGGATTTGACTATAATTACAAGTGATTTGACTATATTTACAAAGCTAAAAAGTATCAGCACCAGAATTCAAACCCAGAAACCCAAGTCAGTTTCTTGATTCCATACTCAAAACTTTATTACACCACATTGGCCAAATATTAGGAGAGCACCTGAACTAACTATTACTGGATCCTAACAACCCAAGCCAATGCTATATATTTTCAGTATCATGTAATGGTACCACAGTACTAACAGACACAGTGACACCAAAAATTCCAGCTCTATATCTTTTATGGATCCCTTCTGATGGGGGAAGGAGGACAGTTTGCCCAACAGCTAACCTACATGAGCAGTACACTAGGATGTCCAGCAGGAAGGTGTGACTGGTCTTGAAAACCAGGAAGTACCACTTACCAGAAACTTCAATATTTTTAAGGAGCTACCATTTGTCAGTGTGGGTCTGGCCAAAAAAAATTTATCCTCTGTTGGTCTGTGAGTCTCTGCAAGCTAAGTTAAGCTGTTCCTTAGACAAAAGAAGCACTGGCCAGTGCTCATGGTCTTCCCAGCCTGAAATGACTTTGGTGTAAGGCATCAATAAAACATAAAAAAAAAAACCCAAACCCTAGAACGAAAGTCTCCCCACCTTGGAGAGCCTGCCAATTTCAAAGCAGGGTTCTAGTGAATTGCCACAAACCATTAATCACCAAAAAGAACAGGAGCTGACCAATCTGGGTTTCCCATGGAAACTAAGCTTAAAGTCAATGCAGCAGCAAAACAGTCTTCCCAAGCATTTTTCCAAAGTGCTTGCCAGAAACCCTGCTTTTTCTTCTCTCCAGTTCCAAATCAATGCTCCAAATCAACAGAACAATGAATTGTCGGAAAGGAAAAGGAAAGGAATGCAGAACTGTGGACCAGAACCCACAGTTCCCCAACAGAAGGGATCAAATTACTGACCTTGTCAAAGAATGAAAATTCTTGCAAAGTTCCATATTTTCCCACAGCTGCAACAGACAGATCTTTGGTCCCTCGCAACTTCATTTTCTTCTGTCATGAAAAGTTCAGCACTATTAAAGCAGTCTGCATGCACCAAGCACTCAATAAAAGCTAGCTGGAGACATGAACACCAACTCTTCCGAGGCCAATTCCCACTCTGCCCTTGATAATCACCACTCCCTTCTTCGGTCCCTTCCTTGGGCCACCCCACCCAGACACGTCCCTGTTATCTGCCCTCCTCCACCCAGAGACACAAGCAGTGTCTAAGCTGTCTCTACAGCCCTAGCACTTGGCACTAAAGACACAGGGTGAACTGAATCATACGCCAAAGAGATGAGACATAGATATCAGACTCATGGTCTTTTTAGCCCAGCAATTTCCTTGGAAGAGGTGCTGTGGTCCAGGTTATACTTAAAAGGCCTTCCCTTTCTAGGTCTCAAATTCATGTCTTTCCTGTCCTGCTGAAGGAGATCCAGTACCCAGGATCTGGTCCTGGATCATTAGGATCATTCTTGAACATTTTGCCCAAGCTTTCTCTGTTTTGTTAAATCACAGGCACACACCAATGCTGAGCATCTCTTCCCCAATTAATCAGGTCCTATCTTTTTATATAGTCTGTTTTACTAAGGACCTAGGAGTAGAAAAGAACTTCAGAAGCCTACTAGCTCAACCCCCCACACCTGAACAACAAGGGCCTAGAGAAACTGAGTGATTTACTCAAGGTCACGAAGATAGTAAATGACAGAGTTAGAATTTGAACCCAGGCCCTCTGGCTCCACTATCACTGTTACCATTTTAGATTCTCGTCTAAAAGGAATCATTGCCAGCTGCTCTGGTATTCCTGAGGCATGGTACCAGAATATAGTTGCGTCTGAGTAGGACAATGTCTAATGCCATTCTTAATGAAAACCAGTCATCAATTTCAGCCTCGGCTACACATTGAGCCAACGTCTTTACTAACAGTCCACAGCGACTATCGGTCACAACAGCTTAGAAATCTCTATCACATAAGCACAATTAATTTCTTATTTATAAAGCATGGTATGGAAGGATCTGAATTTTTAAGCTCATTAAATGCTTCTTTTTTTTAATTTAAAAAATGCTTATTTATGAGCTGACAATATTAGCATCATCCAAGGCCAAAACAATGAGATTCAAATGGTTCCTTACATCTCTTCTATACTGTACTTTTCAGAGTGTTGTCAATATTTCAAAAGATTTCACCCATGTAGGGACTCCATTCACCAGCTCAGAACCCAACTTCTTCATGCTTTATGAGTCAGTGTTTCTCAGTAGATCCAACCAAAATTATTCATCATATGGTGGCCAAACTTCAGGCATTAGGTCTTCTCACACTTAGCAAGGCTGGTCCTCTAAGGTAGGACACAGTCAATTTGCTGGGCCATACTTAAAACATTTCCAACTTGGTAGGATCTACCAAAGCTTGCACTTGGCTTAAAAAACTTTTAATAACCTAAGGTCATGTGATTTTAATAACACAGACCAAAATGAGGCATCCTGTAGCAGGACTTCAGTGGAGGCCTCCTGAATTTAACATCACTCAAAGAGAGCCAAGTAGTACATTTTTGTTGATGTCCTCCCCTGCCCACACCCCACTAACTACTTCTTAAAACACAGAATGAAAACTTCAAAAAAAAATTTTACGGAATTAGGGAACTGCTGAACAAATTGTGGTATGTGCATGTAATGAAGAATGTAATGTGCCATAAAGAACGACACAACGGGCAGAGGCAAAGCCTTTAAGAACTGATGCAGAGTGAAAGGAACACAACTAGAAGAACAATCTATGAAACCGTAAAGAAGACAACTGTGAAATCCTTAAAAACTCTGATCAATGCAATGTCCATCAAGGCTCAGAGACCTTATGCAAATGACAGCTTAGACTGCAATGAGAGGAATATCCTGGTCAGACCGCAGCTACAATGTTGTGTTCCATTCTGGGCCCCAAAGTTTAGGATGGAGACTGATGAGCTGGAGGGAAATGGGTTCAAGATCATACTGTATGAGGACAGGAGGAAGCAAATGGAAATTATTTAACTTCTCTCTTCTGAAGACATGGGGGAATGAAGAACCCCTGGCAGCTGTCCTCAAGTACAGGAAAGGCCATAGCTTAGAAGAGGAATTAGAGGGGCAGCTAGGTGGATCAGTGGATAGAGCTCCAGCCGTGGAGTCAGGAGGATCTGAGTTCAAATCCAACCTCAGACACATGACACTGGGCAAGTCACTTGACCCCAACTGCCTCATCAAAAGAAAAAAAAAAAATACGAGGAATTAGACATGTTTTTGTTCTGTTTTGACCCAGAGGGCAGAATGAGGAACAGTGGATAGAAGTTTCAGAGAGGCAGAATTAGGCTGAAGAAAAGCAAAGCCTTACAACGACAGCTGTCTAAAAGAATAAGTTGGGGGTTACCTTTCTCTCTGGAGATCACAGTCAAGACTGTGTTGAATTAGAGTACCTCCAAGAGCCCTTCCAACTCTGAGGTTCCAAGACACTTAGCACTGACAAAGCAATCTCCAAAGTTACTGAAGTCTATGGACAGCCTGCCCCAACACTTTGGGAGCCTCAGGTTTACTTCACAGTTTTTGTCTTTTTCAACACTGACAAACTGACTCATCTAATAAGACCCCAATAAAGAAAGTTCCCCTCAATGAAACCCTTGACTCTGACAAATGGTTCATCCTCAGAAAGAGAGGTCGTTTTATCAAGGAAAATGACAAGAGAAATGATGTGTCCCCATCTGATTTGCCCCTACAACTTTAGGACCAGGAAGCCTCTCCATCTGACCTGCAGCTGAAACCCACTCCCTGAAGGCGCTGTCTCCCCCTACTAGAGTGGGAGCTCCCTGACAGCAAGGACGATCTGGCATTTCTGTTTGTATCCCCAGCACTCAGCACAGGGGCATTACTTCATAAATGATTTATCTACCCACTGAGTCATCTAAAAGCCTGCGGGGCTCCTCCATAAGTAAAGCATGAGCTCTGACGCAGGGATTGTAAGGAATCACTTTGGTCTGCTCAAAGGCTATCCTGTTACCTTCAGGACCCTCAGCTGGGTTGTAGAGATTGCAGTAAAATGATCTCCTGACAGACAAGCTCTCAAGATGATTCCCAACTTTTTTATGGTCAGGAACTACTATGCTCTTCACTTGAAGATTTCCCAGTGGGGAGAACAAAGTCCTGCAAGGACTAACGGGAAATTTTTCAAAGCACTTTTATGCCCAATATTTTATTTGATCTTTACAATTACTGTAAGAAGGACAGAGAAGCTATTACCATCACATATGAGAAATGAAGATGTTGAGGCAGAGAGAGATTGAATTAAGGTCACACAAATAATTAATAGCAGATCTAGACTAGTAGAAAACATCAGAGCTGGAAGGAATTTTACAACAGAAACTGCCAGGGCTGGGAAGGCCTTAGAACACAGAACTCAGTCACATCAGTAACTGAGGAGGTCACCCTTAGAACACAGGATGTCAGGGCCAGGAGAGCCTTAGTGCCAAAGCTAGGAGAGAAGGACAGTTAAGGGATGTGTCCACTCTCACAAAGCAAGTTCACTTACTAATTTCTATATTCTTTCACCTACACTATGCTGCTTCTACTTAGCATCTCAGTTCCAAGAAAGGAGAACTTAAATCTCAAAACTTACAGGTCAACCCTATCACTCAAATAAATCCTTTCTAAAAGAAAATTAGGAGTGGATTGTCACAGCACTGACTTGCTTCCTTAAAATAATCCCCAGGCTGGGTCTAATCTGCTTTCCTTATTGGGGATAGTTACCTTGGCTGGGCCAGTGACAGGACGAAGGAGCAGAGGCCTAGACCGTTTTTTGCTGTGTTCCAGGTTCTTTTCATGGTCACTTTTCTGAACGCTATTCATTTCACATGGTCCATTTCCTGTAAACTAAAGGAAACAAACATGATTTCTGATTCGTGTAAAGGACTGTAGCTGTGCTACTTTGATGCTCACAGGACACGAAGCAAATCCATCCCTTCAACCACCATTTATTAAGCACTTGGCACACCGTGCTAGGTACTAAAAGAAATGCAAAAATGAAGTAAGACAGAGCCCTGCCCTTCTGGAGTTTACAATCAATCTGGAGTATCTCACTTTTAGAATGCGTTCCAAAACACAGAGAAATCTAATGACCACAGTACAGAATAAGTCAACAGGAGCCTAAGAGAGGGCTATGCAAGGTCCAAGAAAGACTAACATAGGCCTGGGCAGAGCCACAGAATCCTATTTTTCAATATATTCCCAAATGGTGGCAAAAAAAAAAAATTAAAGCAAATCAGATATTTTGTAGGTGGTCCATTTACACACTAGAAACATCTGGTTTAGTAGTTCTGCTTCTCAGGCTCTAAAGTGAGGTTTAGAATAACATCTGAGGATTCTTCAGGGTACACAGTATATTTTCCCAAGCCACCAAGTCTGTTCATATTAGAATGGCACATAAAGGCAACTAGGCACAACAGCTGAGAGAGTACTGGACTTGGGAGTCAGGAAGATCTGAGTTCAAATCCTGCTTCAGACACTGAACCAGCAGTGCAACCCTAGGTTAAGGGCCTTGTTAACCTCTCTGAGCCTCAATTTACACACCTATAAAATGAGGAGGTTGGACTTGAGGGCCCCTAAGGTCCTTCCCAGCTCTAAAATTATGCTTTTAAAAACCAACGTCCTAGTAGAATTTATACAAGGGTCTATTTACAACGCCAAATCTTTCACAGCCGCTCTTCACCACTATCCATTCAGGGAGTAAAGAGGCAGGAACAGCACAGAAGAGGGAGAGGGGAACAACAACACGAGGTCAATCCCGGGAGCTGTTTGTCTGACACACTGGCCGGTTCTCAGATTTGGTGAAGGCTAAGCCAATGGTCTTTCAGTCATTTTAATGACCAAAAAAATAATCAATTCCATTTTCTCCTTGTTCATTTGCAAATCACTTAGAGACTGTGCCTGAAAGTTGTGTTTATAATTATCATTCTTCAACTGCAATTCTTCAGAAATCTGAGATTTCACTACTGTGAAGGTATGCCTTCTACCAATAGTTATCATGAGGTACTGAAGATCAAAAAAACTCCGCATGGGGCAGGTAAGCAGCTGGTCAGGAGCGAGAGGCCTCGGGAGGTGTCCCAGGCGGTCTCTCAATGCCACTGCACTGGGCCAACTTGATGAACCCTCCTGGAAGCTTAACTCCCAATAGCAAAGCCTTCAAGAACCAGGGTCATCTCCACAGCAGAGAAAAGCGCCAAAGGAAGACTTTGCTATATAAATATTATGATTAGCTAATAATAACAGGATAGGGTATAAAGAGTGAACTATGTACAGGGATATTTCTGGTGAAGAAACTTCCTTCCACTAATACAGTATGACATCTTTATTCCTTTCAATCTTAGAGAGGTACACAGAACAGTGAGAGGAAGAGGAGGTCACAAAGCCACTATGTACTAAAGGGGCACCTGAATTCAGGCCTTACTGGCAGGATATACTATCCACTATAGTACAATGCCAATAGTAATAATAACAATACCTTATATCAATGTAACACTTTGCTTCCACTACATTATTTGATCTAAATTACAAGCCCTGCAAAGTTGACAGAGTTGGTAGTAGGATCCCATTTTACAAATAAAGAAATTAAAGTTCAGAAAGACTTGCCCAATGTCCTTAGTAAAAGGAAGACCTAGGACAGGAACCCTGAACATCTATGTCCATTAGACCTTTCATTCTAGCACATTCCTTCTCAACATTCTAGACTTACTCAATTAACTTTAGTTTGGTAATAATAAACACATAATTTGTAAAGTGCTTTATACTTCACAAACACATTTTTGATGTAGGCTCATCCAATCCTCACAACAAGTTTTAAATACAAAGGATAAGGATTATCAGCCCCATTCTACAGAAGAATTAACCTTTGCACCTAAATCAACACTTTGTGTACACTTCAGTGAGATGACTAACACAAGCATTATTAACTTTGTCACTTAAGGTCACAAAGCAAGGAAGCAGAAGCTGCCCCAGGATTTGAACCCAGGTCTTCCTGACTTAAAGGCTGGCATCTCTTCCATATGTGCCACGGTGTCTACACTAAGACAGCCCTTAAACTATTCTGGGGAGTCCAGATCTATGCCTTCATCAGCACTTACAGGTTGAGAGTGGTTTGAGAGGGATTAAGTGAGTGGCAAAACCATGTGGCAAGACTTGAACTTGGGTCTTCCTGACCCTTAATCCACTATGCCAGGCTGCCCCTCAGCACTAACAAAAAAGTCTCAGAATTTACCTTAGGGTTTTTTTTCCCCTTAGTTTTAATAAATGACCAGGAATTAATAAAACCATACACAACTGTGCCTTATTAAAGACAAACCTACTCTGCATCTAACAGAGTAGGATGTTTATAAATGGATTTGAACTAGAGAATGTAGCTGTTTAAAAGAACTCAAGGGTAAAACTGTTGAAATGCAAATAATTACCCTTCAAAGATTTTTGTAATACAAATAAAAACCCCAGATTTAGTGGGTCTAGCTCAGAGGTTCTCCTCCATTGTATCAAGGACCCTTCTGGCAGCCAATCTGGGGAAGCCTAAGGACTCCTCCTCATAAGCATATTTTTAAATGCATATAATAACAGGATACAAAAGAAACCGATTCTACTGAAATACAGTTATCAAAATATTAAACAAAAAAAGTTCACGGGCCACTGTTAAGAGCCCATATTAAAGGAATTAGGCAACTAAGTAAGTAAGGGGAATCAAGGAGTGAGGGCTGTTGGAGACTGAGATCCTTCATCTTTTGATCTGTTTCTTTTGTTGTTGTTTTTTTATCAGTCAATAAGCATTTTTAAAAAATTGCATTTACCACTACTTCAAGCCCTGTCTTTTGGATACAAAGAAAAAAATAAAAACAAACACATTTTAGTGGGGCGTGTAAATAACCAGGTCTATGGAAGATCTATACAGTGTAAATGGAACATAATTTCAGAGGTACGGCAGATACAGGCCTATGGTTAGAGTAAGTTGGTGAAAGCCAGGCACATGTCTGGTAGTGATGGTGACCTCTGGCGAGGCCACCATGCTGCTCAATGATGGTTCCCACGTCCTTTGCTCCACTTTTCTTTCTGCTGGAAGCTTCGGCTCCCCTCTCTACAGAACCCATCATTCACTGCATGCAGCTACTGGTAAGCCTCTCCCTTACAAAGGAGGATTAAATTCTTTTTATTTCTATGATGTACCTACAGTTTAAGACAGCTATACCCAGCCAGGCAACCAGGAAAAACCAGAAGAAGCCCCTGAGATGGGACAGCAAGACTGGATTGTTATCTTTCTACATGGAAGACTTGTCTGTCACATTCAAAAAGAGGCCAACTCGTTGGCTTATCCCCTCCAGCGCATAAAAGTAGAACCAGAAGGCACGGGATTAAGAACTAGAAAAGACTTTTAAAAGCATCTACTTCAACCAGCGCATTTTATAAATGAGGAAACTGAGATGCAGGGAAGTTATACTTGCCCAGAGTCACACAGCTAAGTCACAAAAGCAGAGATTTGAATGGAGGTTCACTGCAAATTCAATGCTCTTCCAATCGTACCAACCTGCCTCTCCTGCTCCAGGCCAAGCTGGGAGGGAGGTTATATGGAGACCAATTTTGGCTAAACATAAGAAGCCCCTCCTCAGATCTGCTCTGAAAACAAACTGACTGACCTGTCAAGACAGTAAAGTCCCTATGACTGGCAGTATTCAAATCCAGACTGTATCACTACTGCCAACAACGTTATGATGGGCAGGAAGCTGGACTTGGTGACCTCCTCTCAACTGACATTCCAGGAAAGACTTTCTCCAAATAAGTGACCTTACAAATGCTGCCTCAGCCAAGTGATCAAGTCATCCAAACTGGTAGGAGCTTTTCTTGGTGGCAACCCCATTACTACCAAGTCAAACTGCCAAACTACTGGGTAACTAACTCATCAACCCTTAACACACCCATACATCCTACTTTATGAACTTCTCATATGAAAATAACACAGGACAAATCTAGGTTATCATATGACCCTACTAGATTTGAAGTGCTACGAAGGCTGGGATTATATCTTATCTAACTTTATATACTCCCACGGCCTAGCACAGTGTTATACGCAGAAGGTGCATTTACTGAATTTAACACAAAATAGTCGATAAACATGGATACATGTAGGACTACAGGATGTTTAAGGGAGACCCTTTGAAGTCATATGGACCATCCTCCTTTTACAGATGAAGAAACTGAGGTCTAGAGTAGGAACATGATTTCCCCATGTCGCAACTTAACTCTACTAGGAAAGCTATACCTCAAACACAGATTCTCTTGATTCTAAGTCAAGTGTTCTTTCTCATACAACAACATAAGAGAAGAGAACTGGGAAATGTCCTCAGCTCATCTAGCCCCTAGTCTCCTAATTCCTAGTGAGAAGGAGGAGGTACTCAAAGGAGGAGGTACTCAGATAGCGTTCCAAGGCAAACAAGGGCAGTAATGAACCTCCACCTTCCACATTCTGGCCTACTGAGCCCCACAAAGGCTACTTGCTCATGGGGCTCACCAGAATCAGATTTCCCCTCGATAAGTGTATCAAGAGGAGAGAGAAAGTACCCAGGAAACTCCAAATATAGGTAGCCTCTAACTCATGGGCATTTGTTACAAAAAAAAGGAGCCCACAGGAACTCCCATACTTTTACTGCAGCTATTAGGCTTTAGCCCACTTCCTTTCCCCTACATCACTGCATCCTGCTACCTGGGATCCTTCAACTCTTACCCCCAAGCTCATTAGCATGGAGGGTAAAAGGAGAGGGAGAAGAAAGATAAAAACCCCATTCATTGCTGTTCATTACCACCATTCCTCAATCCCACTTTTTCACTGTCCCAAATACACTCAGTCCCAGACCTCCCCACTTGCCACCCCCAGTCTTAGTGTCACTCCTCACCACAGTACCTGTTCCCAACCTCCATGCGTCATCTCCCTTCTCCAAGGCCATAGGAACCAACTCTAGAGGCTCAGGTGCAAATGTCATTTTTTCCCATATTATAGATCAAGAAACTAAGACCCAGAGAGACTGTTAAATATTAATTTGTCCAAAGTCCTAAATCCAGTAAATGTCTGATCTTCTGACTAGCACTCTACCCATGTATTTGATGAATATATGCTGGGGCCTTGGCAAGGGTAGATACTTGCCAGATATTCCAAGGTGGAACTCTGAACATATTTTAAATACATGTTTAAATGGTGTTAATTTGCTTGTAAGCACTATCAGTACAATCCATCAGGCATATTACAAGTTAAATAGGTCTTGTGGTCTAACCTGGGAACCCAACCAATATGTATAACATTACTTCCATGGGAAAATATATTTTGAGTTCCAACCAACTAACTCATATATTGATTTTGGCAATACAACTTCCATATACATTGGAGAACACCCATACAATGAATTATTTTAGTGTTCTGTAAAATGATGTAAAAGGGAGCATTAGCTGTTATTTATAGAACTCTTAAGTAGTAGAATCTCTACAGAAACTCCAAAGGAAAGACAGAAAAAACCCCTGGCCTCCAAAAGCTCATAGGATGAGCCAGATAAATGTTGGAAGACAGAAAAGACACCATGCACACGTACCAGGTTCTCTGGCTGTCAATGGCAAGTCGCCATACTTCACATGTTTTGTAAAGTTTCCCAATGAGAAATGATCAAAATGAACCCACAGAGGGTAGGTAGCATTGAACATTACACCAGCCAATGAGCTACCTGTGGGGCTAGTCCATCTCATCTCAGTACATACCAAAGATCTTTTAGCTTCTGGAAGGAACTGTCCAAACTCAGAAAGTAGATCCTCCTGTCCCCTGAAGAGATTAGCTACCTCAGTAAATACTTCCTCCTCTGACATGCCCCGGAAAGGGCGTCCTTTAGTGTTCAGCTGCTCTTTCTGTCAATTTACAGGGAAAGAAGTATGAATCATTAGTGATAACAAGAGTCATCCTGTAACATTCAAGAGTCAAATTATGGAGAGAAAACCAAAAAGCAGATCATTGACAGCTTGGCATGCAATATGCTGCAATGCAGACATGACTGTGTGCCAGACTGGCGATAAACATTCGCTCCAGGGAAAAGAAGGAGAATTAGAAACCTGTTGCCTAGCAAACCTTCAGCAATCTCCAATAACCACCCTCTTACTTCCTTTCTCTGGGAAGGGGAGATGTGCATAGGACAAGGCTCAAATGACCAAAGGACCTGCCTGCAGGGTGGTGAGGAGGGCAAAGCAAGCAGCAGCAATTTAGCCCTCTCAGAAGCAAACACTTCTCAAGCAGTTATCAGAGAAACTACAAAGGAATACAAGGGGAAAAAGCCACCTCTCCAACAAGGAGCAGCACAAAAAAGATCCCCAACAGTAAAGACGGGGACAACACTAAATCAATTTGTACAGGGCTCTGAGATTTGTCTCAAAATCCTGGAGGTAGGTGGGACGGGAGTGTATTGCCACTTTCACAATGAGGAAAAGGAGGCTGTAAGAAGTAAAGTCACTTGCCCCTGGTCACAGAGACAGGTCTGAGACAGGATTTAAACCTACTCCAAGTGAATCCACCATTTCCCACTGCCTCTCCAAAAACAAGCTCCCTTTCAGTGACTTTTTCTTTTTTTTTCTTTTTTCTTTTTGTTTGCTAGACAACGGGGTTAAGTGACTTGCCCAGGGTCACACAGCCATTAAGTGTTATGTGTCTGAGGCCAGATTTGAACTCAGGTCTTCCTGAATCCAGGGCCAGTGCTCTATCCACTGCGCCACCGAGTGCCCTCAGTGACTTTTTACTAACTATGGAAGGGGCTTCATGGATGACTTTTAACCCTAATAGGCTTAACCCTCCCATCAAGCAGAGCCCTCCAACCTAACAGTTGGTTATGAAATCCTAATTCACTTTCAATCTCCATTACTTTTTTCCCCCTAAAAAATATAATTAGAAGATATATCTGGCCTTCCTCACCACCCTACCCCCACATTTCAAAGGGACACAAATAAATTTCGGATTATCTATCATTTCAACACAACTGTTGTCTTCCACAATTAGTTAAGGGTTTGGTGGCACTCCAAATGCAGCTCTATTCTTCAGTTCCACTGCTGAATTTTCCTCATACAGCCAAATCTCAAGCTGATGATTGGCACACCAAGAAAAAGAAACGCAAGATTTATCGGTCTTTGTTGAAATGCCAAATAAGCTTATATATTTTCAGTAGGTTTTATTGTTAAGTCTTTATTGTTAATGATTCAGGTACATTATCTATCCATTAAGAAAGAGCAAAACCCTCAGATTTCCCATGATTTTATCTTGAAATCTTACGTGTTATTCTCAGGACTCTTCCACCCTCTGTTTCCCCTTCTTTGATAAATGGCCCGAGAACATCTGAATGGGAAGGAAGGCATGGCCCCACACAAGGAAGGTACCTTACGAGAAAGCCAAACCTTCCAATGGCTCTCCCTACAGCAGGATGCTCCATTGTTAGAACCATCTTAAAGATGGTTCCTCAGGAAATGAAGATGAAGGAAGGCAGGGACTGGGATTTCAGATTAGTTATCTGAAATACAGCTAAAGGTGGCACAGGAGTATATCTGGTGAGAAACGAGGAACTGGTTAAGCCATCTCTCCACATCCCCAGATAGCGCTGGTAAAAGAAGCACACGCACTACATGAAAACAGTTCAGACCCAACAGGGGAAGCTTCCAGGACACAAACCCATGCTTAAGATATCTAGAAAATTCCTGAACCACTTGTTCCGGGGCCGTGAGATCTTATCAACCACCTAAGAGCCAACAGGGCACTGAGGTTTTTTGAGAGGGAAGTGACAGGAGGTCCAAATCTTACATCAAGGGGCTTTCTTGAGTCATCCAACCTCTTTCATCTTACCTACACATAATGCTGGATAATAGCACAAACACATTCCCTAAGCTGACTCCCAGCATTTTTACCTGGTAAGTATGCAATATCTCTAAGAAGGATCTGTAGATTTCTGGGTGGTCAAGAAAACGGGTTTTGATCTTATTCACATAGCTTATAGCATTGTTGAATTCCACAGAATCAGATTCCAAAGGCCCCTGAGGTTTGTCTTCCTTATACGGCAGCTGCTGCTTATAGTCATCTGTAGAGTCACTGTGATGGTGGGAATTTTCCTGGAAATTCAACCAAAAGACATCATCAGCACATCAGGCCTGAGGATGCAGGGAACTGATTTTAAAGAGAACTCAGAGTCAAAGTTATTCACACACACACACACACACACACACACACACACACACACACACTCACTCACTCACTCACTCACTCACACACTCCATACACACACATACATACATGCACACATATACGTATATAAAAGCATCATACATACATACACGTGTATATTGCATATATGTATTATAGTGTTTTTATAGGGCTTTTGGCCTAGACCTACGATGTTATCAGCGTAGGGAGTTTCATAGAAAAAATTCCCTATACCAGTACAAATCAGCAACTACATTGCAACTTCAAGTTCTCTAAGAGGTTAAGTACCTAGGTCGAGGTCACACAGGCAATTATGTCTCAGAGGTGGATTTGAACCCAAGTCTCTGAGACTGATTATCTGCTTCTCTGATTCATTTACTAAAAGAGTTAAAACTTATCATGCTCTACAAGAGGAAAAAGGGAAGAAAAATGACCAGAGAATGGTGGTCCAGAGAGGGTGATAGGTCTGCCCAATGCCACATAGCTATTTAATGGGAAAGCCACCATTGGAAGCCAATTTTCTCTAAAGCTTAGCCCAGAGAAAAGAACACAATGGGGAAGAAGCAGGAAGGGAAAATTGGTTCAAGAATAAAAATATTAAACAATCCATAAACAAGGCTAACTTATTGAGGTTAAATAAGAGTTGGCTAGGAAATAGTTGTCACACCTTTTTAAAAGTAAAAATTAGATGTCCATCTCTATCAAATTACCAGGTACAATTTAAAGATGGTTATATTTGCACTATCAACTGTTAGACTACTGTCTTCCCTGTATTTACCACCTGTGTGATCAGAGCAAATCGACTAATTTCTCGGAGGCTGCTTCCTCATTTATAATGTGGGGATAATGACACTTGAACAATTCTATTTCATGGGACAATTATGAGAAAAGTGCCTAAAGTGTGATAAATATATAGGCTACTATTATAATGAAAACTATACACTAAAATAATTTAACTCCTAAACAAATTTTGTTAAAATATTTTATTTTAAAGCTTCATAGAGTTGTGATTTTATCAGACTGGACACCAGTTTCACAGATAAAGACCAACTCCTTCATGCCTTAGTAGACGGTCTTCATGAAATACTGTGGCTTAAAAAAAAAAATCCCTTTGTGGCCAAAATCCTGGTGATCATCATAGGACCACATATTAGAGCTGGAAGAGACCTTAAAGGTCATCAAGTACAGAAGGAACTGAGGCATGCAGGTTTGATGGTGTGTCCAGGTCACAGGGCTAATACGTAAGAGAGTCTGCATAACCAAAGTCAGCCAACTCCATAGAGTCTATTGTCAGGGGCAAATCACTTAACCCCAAGTGCCTCACAGAAAAAAAAAAAAAAAGAGACTTGGAGCGAATAAAGTTTATTGTCAGGTTCGTGCTTGAAGCTTTTCCAACAAACTATCAAAAGTTTTTATGCCCCTGATATCTCCACTAAGAACTCAACACCTTCTCCTTGAGATGTGACATTGGAGCTATTAAGTGAAGGTGTCAAAATATTAAAAAGCTAGGAAAAAAAAATGATGAGCCATGTTTGCACAGCGGGGAAGGAAGCACTGAGGAACATCGCAACAAAGCCTCATACCCTGACCTTCCAAAGACTTGTAGAAACAGAAAAAGCTAGCACTTTTACAGTGCTTTAAGATTTGCCAAGCATTTTGCAAACATTATCTCACTTTAACCTCACAACAACCCTGGAAGGTAGATGCTATTATCTGTCTCATTTTACAGATGTGGAAACTGAGGCAGACAGAGGCATAATAACTTGCCCAGGGTCACACAGCTACTAAGTATCTGAGGCTGGATTTGAACTCAGGTCACTTCAGTATCTTTGCCAAGAAAACCCCAAATGGGGTCCTGAAGAGTCAGGAAGAGTTCAAGAGTTCCTCATCTGTAAACGGGGATTAGCCCCAATGAAACCTGAGAAAACAGGATCTTACTTTCAGCAAATATGCAGAGCAAAGAGAATTCTGCAACGACGTACAGAATACATTATGTCGGTGTTTCTGCAGCTACTAAACGACAGCTACATACGCCAAACCATGAGGCTGATCTCCCGAAACAAGGTTTGAAAAGACCAAAGGAATGTCTCTTTCCAAGTTATCAGGGAAAACAGTACTATTGTGTAGGAGGAAATGATGGAAAGGACAGTGTCAAAGAAACTTGGGAAGACCACGAAGTGATGCAGAACAAAGTGAGCAAAAGCCAGAGAACAATTTGTACAAGAATAACAATATTGTAAAGACAAACAACTCTGACAGATTTCAGAACTCTGATTCCAGGCAACTGATGAATTATGCTACCCATCTCCTGACAGAAAGGTGATGGATTCAAGATGCAAAATGAGACATACACTTCTGCGTACAGACAATGTGGGAATTTGTTTTGACTAACTGCCCGTATTTGTTACAAGAGTCTCATTTCCCTTTTTTTCCTCTTTGGGAAGGGAGAGAAAATTGCTTGTTAAATTGAAAAATAAAATTACTTTTAAAATTGAAAAACAAAAAAAAAGAATAAAGTATTTTTTAATAGCCTGAAGAGGCAAAGAGTTTAAGAATGTGAAAAAGAAGGAAAGAAAGAAAAAGGAGCACAGTTCTTTGAAGTTAGGCAATACCACAGCTATGAGATTGGATAGAGCTGCACCCTCGGAAGAGGGGCCACTTTGCGCATACTTTGAAGGAATAATGGTGTGGACAGAGAGTTGAGCCTAGAAAAGCAATACTGCTTGCATGCAGATAGCAATGGTTGCAGTACGCCACTCCCTGCTAAGGAGGAAGAGATTCGCCGTCTACTCAGGGCATTATCTCAGACATGGAGAGGTTCCCAAGACTTCTCCATTCGACCTTCACAACCCGTCTCCTGTGTCCCCTTCCAGCCACTCACCCGGTAGCCTCATGACCTCTCCTCTGAACTGCTGCAATAGCTGACTACGCTGTCTCCCAGCCTCAATGCTCTTCCCTTCTCTGAGGCGTCCTCCACACAGCTGCCACAGTAATGCTACTCATAAAGAACAGGTCTCACCCCATTACTGCTCTGCTCAGTAAACTGCCCTGGCTCCCCGTTACCTCTAGGATGAAACAGAAACAGCTGATCTGGCATTCAGGCCCTTCACAACTTGGCTCCTACCTGCCTTTCCAGCCTAATTAGACCTTATTCCCCATACCACACTGCGGCCTTCCTGCTGTTCTTCACACACGACCTTCCATGTCCCTGTTGAATGGGAACGCACTACCTCTCCTCTGCTCTGCCTCACAGAATCCCTGGTTTCTTTCAAAGTTCAACCCAAATAACACTTCCACCTACACTAGGCCGTTAGCGTGTCTCCTGATCCCTGCGATGACTTTATGCTCACTCTGTACATTCTTATGAGAGACAGAGTGTTGATCTCAAAGCCAGGAAGTCCTGGGTTCGAGTCTCACCTCTGATACAAACTTGCTACAAGACCCTGCTCTAGGCCAACTCTCTTAAGACTACAGGTTACAGCAAAGGTGCTGACCTGAATAAGCAGAGGGAGCTTCCTCACACAGGAGATCCCTGTACCATGAAATCACAGGTTCTGATCCAGTCTCTGGTCCTACAACTATGTGCACAGTCTGTCCCTCCAATAGAATCTAAGTTCTTTCAGGCCAGGGCTTAAACCACTTCTGTCCCTGTATCCCCAGTGCTAGCAGGACCTGGCAAACAGTAGAGGTTCACTGAGCACTTACTGATTGTCTTGAGGCAAATTGAGATTTGAGGTAAGGGAAAGATTTCCTAACAATTAGAACTACATATTTAGAATTAAATATTATATATTCAATCATAATTATAATATTTAGAATTGAAGGTCAGTTGTTGGTTGTGTCAGAGATGGAATTCTTTTATGATGTGGATCAGAATAGATCTCCACTGTAATGCAATCTTCTACAATGAATGTGACCTTGTTTCAAAAGGTAGAGGTGGTTCTTCTCCAAGAGGAACTCCATACTCCGGACCTGATTCCCACAAAAAAGGAACTTGTTGGGGGGTAGGAATGTGAGGAATTTCGGGGGGAGGCAGGAAGGAAGGGGGGAGGAGAGGAGAGAGGCTGAAATGAGTTTGCTGTGGTGAGGTTACATCTGGAGTGCTGTGTTTAGTCCAAGCATCACATCTGAGGAAAGACGTTGATAAGCTGGAGAACTTGTAAAGGAGGGACGTGAGATGGGGACGTCTAGCTTAGACAAGAGGGCAGGAGCTGTAAAGGTCAGCTTGAGAGCAGTCTTCGAGGATCTAAAAGACAGTCACTTGGAAGAGTGATTTCAGATTTGGGTCCAAGAGGAAATAACTAGGACCAAAAGGGAAACTTTATACAGGGAGTCTTCACCCAAGGGTTGAGTAACAACTTGGCAGGCATGTTGGAGATGGGATCCTTCCTCAATCCCTCTTCATTCTAGTGCTCTCTCTTGGTTAATTATTTCCTGTTTATCCTGTACATAGTTTGCTTTGCACGTATTTGCTTTCATGTTAGCTATTAGATTATAAACTCTATGAGGGCTGAAATTGTCTTTTACCTCTTTTGTAACCCCTTTGCTTAATACAGTGCTTGGCATACAGTAGCCACTTAATAAATGCTTAATGACCGACTGGATGGCTGATCCTCTTTGAGGAACGAGTTAGTCTAGCTGTACCTCCTAACTCTGAAATTCTATGATTCAGCCCTCGTAAACATTAGGGTTTGATCAAATACTACATAGGCTTCATAAGCACAGAAAACCCAAGTTAGTTACAGAAACAGTTAAAACTTTACCAAACAGTACACACTACAGAACATGAAATATAGAATATGAAAACAAGGACAAGGAACTGTCCAAGGAAAAACAAAGAAAAGAAAAAGAAAACAGGTTGATGAGAAGGCAGACAATGCAATTCCATGTTGCTTCTGTTTTCTACACC